GTTCACATGAGGTTGAAAAACTATGTAGTTCTAGCGCCCGGCTAGTAGCGGGCAGATAAACTTTACAACACGACACACGACCCCCAGCCCCGTGCCCAGCCCCCCTCCCGGCAGTGTACTCACTTCCTGTACCAAACCCTCAGAACGCACCAACATCATTCTGCATTTTAACAGCAGCTGTGAAAATGGAAACTGAACCTAGAGCTTCGCGTGCTCTTGTTTGGACGAACGAATTATCCTCTGTCCCGCGCTGGAAGCCCACGAAGCTAGTTAGTGCGCGCGGCGCCATTGTTGTTTTTGTTTGTTCTCCGCTACTGCGCATGTCCAAATTTACGTGCGGGGAGCCTGCAAAGTTCAGATCCCACTTTGCAGGCTGGATCTGAACACTTACGTTTTCACCCCCCTGGAACAGTCTTCATATGAACGGTTGGTAGAAACCGACATCCAACTATATTGTTTTACTGCCACATTGTCTCCGTGTAAACTCAGCCTGAGTCGACTTCATCACTTCTGTTAAAGAAGCTATACCCGATTTTTTTTCTAAGTAGTTCATAAAAATGTTTTTTACTACATACAAGTTGTATCATAATACATCATTTAATTGAAAACTTGAGGTAATTGATTCAGCTGTGTAAGAATTACAAGCAGTGAAAAGTGCTGAGTAGAGTCTGAGCGGGCCGCTCTTTCTCCTCCGCTCACAGAACGAGCCGCGAACAGCCTGCGTCCTCTAGCCCCTACAGCGCTGCTTAACACAAGGGCTTCGACTTCAAAATTCGAATATCATTCTAAAATAAAAAATTATGAACAAAATAATTGAATAAAAAATGTGAACAAATATTAGACAACCCTTGTAATTCGAAATGTATTTAATGACTGCAAATAAAATAGTTAGCTCCCAAAGGTTTAACCGGGACGCGCTAGGCAGGTAACAGCTAAGCTAGCTAGTTGTTTCATGGTAACTTCCGGGTTTTTCGCAATCGCTTTTTGTCACATTGAAACAGTATTTTTGTCATGAAAACGTTAACAGCAAATTCTGAAATCATCCGTGCATGTGTGTTAAGGATGTATATGTGTACTGTATTGTCCGATTGACGTTTAATGGTGTTGATTGATAGATATGTAGTTGTTTATTGAGCGTGGCTAGCTCCGCTAGCTCCGTTGGCTTCTCTACACAGACAAGTGTGTAGTAACAGGTGCTGATAGCTTGTTGTACTTGCAGAGTAATGGCAGTATTTTACACACCTGAATTACAAACAGAGGTTGCATTGGGGCTGCGGTCATTATTGGTTTGAGAGTTCTGTTATCAAGAAAAAATGATCGGAAGAATTGCTGCTGCTGCTTTGAGGAGCTCTATAACAAATTATAATTAAATATTAGAATATATTCTAAGGTTTTAAATTAATACATTCGGACGCGAAACTAGCGGTATTACTTATATATTGTGTTAGCAGTGCGTTGCTTTAGTACCATTTCATCAGTGATTGTTGCACAGCTTACAAGAAGTTGCGCTAATGCTAATGTTAGCATATGTATCAGATCGCAAATAAAACTAGGTGGCTCTGTGTTATGAGAGCGTAGGGGAAATGAGAAGCCATTGAGCGAGTTGGGGGGCGGTGCTAAACATTCAAACATTGCAGAAACGGGTATAGCGCCTTTAAGGGACTCTTGACTAAGCTGCACAAACAACAAATAATTTTAATAATTCTATGTAACAATTTGTAATCATAACTTGTAGGCAGCACTTACCGGGGGTTTGTAAGCGTGCGCTTCAGTGTGCTCCTCCTTTTCTAGCCTGACACCTGACTTCCTCTATTGTGCTGCTCCATGATTGGCTCCAGCCTGCTGGACTGAAATTGATGATATGATATTCCGCATGCCACCACCAGGGTTCCGACACAGAACACACTTTTTTCAGGAAAGTAAACCTCCAGGGGTCCTTTCCATATTTTTGCAGAGACTGCATCAGGACTGTTGGAAAAGCATTAACCATTGATTTTTAAGCTTGGACCAGTGGGGTCCGGTGTTCGGGCCCCACAACGTAAAACCAGTCCCCATGACATGAGTTGAATCTCAGGTTATGGACCCCACCAGGAGTTGAAAACAAGTGTACACACGCACACACACACACATGCGCGCTGCAGGAGGGAAGTGACAGGACGGCAGAAAGCCATGAGCCGCAGTCGCGGAGGACTCTCAACCATGTTACTGTGGCCATACCTCCAAAGTACTTCACTTTAAACGAGCGAACAGAAATATGTTTTCAGATGCCTACTTTGCAATCCCAAGAGAAAGTTTCTCTGTGACTGATAATAAATGAGTAAATAATACATGAAATACATAATAATTTGTAATGGCTTATTGCTATAATTTCTGAATTTATTTTGTTTACAATTGTTTACAACACAAAAGGCCTTGTGTTTTGTTGTTGGTGCTTTTGGCTATTGTTCAATAAATATCTCAATTTTTACCTTTATCTGACTGACAGTTGTATTTATCACTAAAATTGCATGGACTGCAGTTTTTTTAATTGAAAATAGCTTCTATATATTGAGCTACTTTTGGCAGGATTTTGTAACTTAGCTTGCTACATCAGGGTGGTAGCTTCTGTGTAGTGAAGCTGAATTTATTGTAGAGTAGCTTGTAGCTTAACTCACTACACAAATCAAGTAGCTTGCTACTTGTAACAATTTCCAATCAGTTACATATACACCCTTTAGCCTACACACAATGTAAACTAGAAAGGAGTGGATAAATAATGTTGTTTGGATAGAGTCCTATGGGGGAGGCTAAAGGGGAGTGTGAATCACGTTGTAGCATATTGATGTAGTGTATTGATAGTATTCCCACATCATGAGTTAATATCTTGCGGAACATCATTTATGGGACATTATACCACAAGCTTGGCACATCTGGAGACTCTGAAATGTTTTTCCCATTAGTCTAAAATCATGTATATATTTTTTTAAATATTGCTCTCGCCTAGCCGATGATGAGACACATGCCATATGACTTCGGACAAACGGCATGGGGGATTTCTTATGGCTTTCTTTGCAACACAGACCTTTCTGTACTACTGCCACCTTTCTGTATTGGGCAATGCTGAGCTAGCACCGCAGCCCTAGAAATTGGTGAGAAGTTATTATGTGCTTCATAATTTGCAACTGATACTGCTGTAGCAAGAGCCATTGAAGCAGGCCAAGGGACAGACACACAGAAGCCCAGATTACAAATATTGAAAACTCAAATTGATCTCTCCAGCAACGCTGCTATTAATCTTGACATATAAATTATTGGTTTGAGCCAGTTTAACAGGTCTGATAGAACCCAAGTAACTCCAGTGAAAATGGCCTGGGACACATAGTTTTGAAGTATGAGAAGAAAGACTCTTTGGCTCTGTTTTAAGCACTATACTCCTGAAGTGTTTGTTTCAGGGCATTATCATCACTTTGGCCTTATCAGGTGAGTGCTGTTTTTGAACTAAAAATCAAACATCCCAGATGGGTAAAGTGCACTGCTGCGAGAATACTGTAATCGTTCTACCAAGAGAGACAAAACGTTTCAGAGATACATTTGGGATAATTTGTCCTATGTGATATAGCCTTCTGATTGCACAGAAAGATTTAGGATTTATCATGCAATACAATGATACATTATCATTATCATTATTATGCAAGTATGAGAATAATTTTTTGTGTTTCAAAATCACATATGGTAATGTAACAAGCGACAAATGCAGTGTTTTTTTTGTTTTTTTGTGAGAACGAATTGGCTTGTAGTTCTGGTGTGCACACATTTTTTTGTGGCTTATGGTATGAGATAAGGCCAAAAGCAGACCCCAACCCCAGAAATAAGATGATATTTCCAACCTTCTTTTAGTGACTCATTAACTGTGTCATGATTTACGATAAATTACTCATTCTAACGATGATTGATAGACAAAAGGTCATTGACGTAGATGCTCTTATATTCTAAACTACGGATAAAAGTGTATTTACCGTTTTAAAGTCTGACTCTTCAATTAGCATTTTTCACACTGGAGGAACCTGTTTCTGTTCGAGGTTTGTTCAGTTTTTCCTGGTTTGAGCTCATTCACACACATTGTGCAATGTTGCAATTCAGAATGTCCACCAAAACTCACTTTATCTACTTATTATCCAGCCCTATATGTATACAACTTTACACTATATGTGTAATATATTACATGTATATTATAGGCCCTATATATATTACATGTATATTATAGGGCTCAGAGAGAAGCTGGAGAGGCCCTGGAGGGTAAAGGTGACAGTAGTGCCCGAGGTGATCGGTGCACTCGGGGCAGTGACCCCGAAGCTGGAGGAGTGTTTACACCAGATGGAACAACTTTAAAATTCTTGGTCCAGAAATGTGCAGTGCTAGGAACAGCAAAGATACTGCGCAGAACCCTCAAACTCCCAGGCCTCTGGAAGATGACCCGAGCTAAGAGAGGGATAACCGCCCGCGGAGGGCGAAAGGTAGCAAAGTGCTCTGTATGTGTGCTGCAACATTGAAATTTCCCCATTGTAGGACGAATGAAGGTTCTCTTATCTAATTCATTTCTACTTCTACTTCTAAATCTGAGTTTGAGTTTTTTTCTAGTTATCAGAATAAACCTAGTCTACATTAAAGCCAGAGTACATTAATATGAGACAAAAAAAATAAACTTCAAATCGCTTACAAAAAGAGATTATAAGCTCCCAGCATGTTGTTTAGAGATTTGTACAAAAAATATTACTTACATGATACTCTGTTATGACAAACATCATTTATTTATGATAAAACAAACAGCTGTAAACATGTTCTGTTAAATCCCTTGAAACTATTGTGTTGCATTTTTTACCCTACGTTTACCCATCAATCTTTGGATGGGTAAAAATACAAGTTGTTTTTGATTTTGGGGGCGTGTCCTGTCTGATAGAGGCGTGTCTTCTTTTGTGGTGCATATTTAACTGTTGCAGAGAGGGGAGTACACCTGGTCAGTCATGGGTCGTCCTGGGATGCAGATGGAGACATGGGTGCTGTTTGTGGCCTTCGGGTGTATGTGTGTGGGGCAGGCTCTCGCAGATCCGTGAGTAACATTGAGAAATAGCTGCAACACAGTGACGATAACAAATATATATTCTATGCTCAGTTTTTGCCTTAATTTAAATGTAAATGTTTGTCACTAGAAAAGTCATTGCATTCATAATTTGCATAAAGTCATGTATATGCTAATTTTACCCAGAAATGAACCCAGCAAATTATGATATCAAAGTTACAATATAAAAATAAAAGAAACTGGCATGAAGGATAATAAAATACTTAGATGTATTGTCAATATGCTTTTGAATTTCTCTTCACGTAAATTGTAATTTTCTTTCATGAGTAGTTTTATTAATTCAGCACCATTTTCATTTCTAATGTAGCTTGATTTGGAGTTTGCACCATCTCTTTGTCTGCAGATTGTACTTTGTCCCAGTCCCGGCTGTGTGGGAGTCTGGAGCTCAGGTCAGGTTTTGTGCGAGTCTTTTGAAAGTGGATAAAAATGACAAGCATAAGATGACCGTGACGCTGCTGTCCCCGGAGCTCAACACCACCCTCCTGCAGAAAGAGTCCAACCAGGATTTTCATACCTGTAGCACCTTCCTGGTATAAACATTTTTCATTTATTGGGACTTAAAACGTGTAATGCTGTGAAGTACTTGGGTCTTCAAGGCTTGAATCAAATATATTTCTATAGTTAAGTATTAGCAGTATTTGAACAACACTATAAGGTGGGACTTTATGTATTTATTTATAAAACCCCAGTCAACTAGTTTTTGACTAGTTTTTGATGTTGCTTGTATATGAATCCTAATGATAAACAGAATGTATCATAAACTGTCTTGTAACTTTCTACACTGCTATCTCAGAAGCCACTGGTCACAAAAACCTGTCCGGGCTTGTTTTCTAATTAGGCCCAAACCCCAACTGGGCGTACGACTTATTTTTCCCTAAAGAGTAATTTCTCAGTGAAACCTGTATGACATTTAGGCATAACCCACGAAACACATAATCATCATGTGAAGATGCACAAAAAAGTGATTATGGCCACACCCGCTGACAACCCGCTGAGCTCATCATTTGAATTGAATGTGAAAAACTGAAGATTAGCCATTTAAAACATCCCTTTCTATACGTGTCACAGACAGGGCACAAAATCACCACATTCAACGTGTGGAGAGAATTGGTATGATTGAGAGATTGAGAATTATCTTTTTTATTTTATTTTGTCTTTTTAAAAGTCTAATTCAAGTTTCATTCACTTCCCGGGACTAGGTCACCTAAATGCATAAGAACAGCTGACTCAAAATAATTGCAGTAACAGTAGTCTTGAGTTAAGTCTACTCACTTCAACTAATGAAACCTTACTCTTCCTAACAAACTACATTGAAGCAAGGTAAATCAAAGGGATTTACATACATTTATTTATTTATCAAAAAACAAAAAAAATATATAAAAAAACATGGACACACATCAGTCACTCAGAAATGGTTTTGTTGGACTGTTGTCTCTGTGTGTTCTCCAGGCCCCTCTGGTCATAAAGGACACGGTGCAGCACTTCCAGGTGGAGGTGATCGGGAAAAAGATGTACTCCCGGGAAACTCGCAAAGTTCTGATCCGTGCCAATAAACCAGTGACATTCATCCAGACAGACAAGCCAATCTTCCTCCCAGGACAAACTGGTAATTTTGTAAATTTCACAGCACCAAAAGATACTGTATCTATCTGCATAAGAACATTCTGGAGGAGTCAAACAAGGCAAAGATAAGAAAACAAAAAGATAAGAAAAAAGGACAGAATAGTAACATTTGTAACACTTTATAAGTTAGCAAAAAATACAGAGTGTGCCATGAATTGATCTTGATTCACATATATCTACTTTAATTGCTGGAATTTCCTATTGGTGAAACAACATTGTGACGTTCTATGAAACAGCTGTTGTTGAAATTTGTGGCTATACAACAGATTGTGATTTCCAGGGGATGCTCCAAACTCATTATGTGAATGTTATTAGTGCATTTTGATTTATCGTACAGAGAGTAATTACTGGTGACACAATTAAAAACAATGTGTCTAGAAGCAGTGATCTTTTTGTTAAAATAACCAGCTAAAATGCTGTTGAATTATCTTAATTTTTTTCAACCTTTTTCAATTTACAAATCAAATCCACCGCAAACCTCATGTTGGGGTCTTTTTCCTTCTCAGTGTATTTCAGGGTGGTGACAATGGACACAAAGCTGAGGCCGGCCTGTCGAAAGGTGAGTGACTCCATTGATTTGATCGAGCCACAGTGACCTGGACCTGTTGCATCAGATCCATTTGCACAGTGAATACAGAACCTCAGGGTCACACCTCCCACACTTAAAGTTACATCATTTTGAGGTTATTTTGATTTCTTTCCCCTTCTTACAAACCTTGTGATATGATTGCTAGGTCCCACAAGCTGTAGGTAACCTCTGAAAATTGTGTGTGTGTGTGTGTAGTGTGTGCATGCATGTTTGTGTATGGTTTTCAACGTGTTCATATTGAACATGATTTCCGATTGATGCGTTACTTAGATATATTGTGATGATTTACTTTTTCTTCAGAGATTGGGGTGGGGTCCAATAAGTTACACTTCTCCCCACCTCCCTTTCAAGCATCAGTGTGTAGGTTACCGTATGTCTTCTTTCTTGTTTTTTTCTCAGAATACTATTTGCTTGAAATAAATAAATAGATACAAATAAATAAACAGCGAAAAAATTGCTTTTCTCTTTGAAGTATGATTGTATCTTTAAGTTGTTTTTCAGACTGTTTCTCAAATGTTGATATGTTCTTTTTCTTTTCTTTTGTTTCAGTATGATATCATCGAACTTCAGGTAAGTCTTTTGTATCAAGCATAACTATTCCAACTCTTTTCTATATAGTCTTTTATTAAAATATAGATGAAACTAATACAAGACTCTTTTTTACTTGTTTTCCAGGATCCACATGGTAACCGCATTGGGACACAATCTACTCAATTCATTCAAGCGTGGAGAATATGGTTCTGTTTAGTTTACATTCATGTTTTTCATTATGGAGGATTATATTTGTACAAAACATCTTTTCAAATAGCACATGAATTACACAAAGTTAAAAAATTCCACATGGTTTCTAAAGACCTTATTTTTTCACATCAAGAGGTATTTAACTTAATCATACGTTTTCTGAGTCTTTTAGTGTCCTACAATTTGAAGTACTAAAAACAATCTATATTCACATATCCCTGTCAAAGTCAAAGTTAAGTTTATTTAACATACCACACATTTACCAATCATAAAGAGCACACTGTGTCGTACGCTTCACACAAAACATCAGTTAATGTACAGCACACTCAAAACACCAGAAAAAATTTCAACTAACAACATATGAAGTGCTCCAAACCAAATCCAATACGTCCACCGAAAACACTTTGATTCATTTAAATCAATGAGACGAACTCATTAAAGTCCAACTACTAAATGCAACTATTTGTATCCCCCTAGTTTTACCAAAGTTTTGACGTCAAAAACACTCGAGGTGAATGTGAGCCTTGCCAGGAGGAAATCAGTATAACACGCTTGTGCAGAGTAAGTTCAGTACACTCCAAATTATATAAAAGATTTATGAATGTTTCTGACTTGAACACATCCCTCTTTAGATACCCTTACAAGCAGCCTGTTCCCGGGGATAGTGAAAACTAGCTGTATGCAGACCCATCAACAGATACTGTTTGGGTCTCTCGAAACGAGGGGATGACGTTCATCTGTGACTGCTCTAGGCCCACAAGGGAGAGCAAAACGGTACTATGTACATTCTTAAATAGGAAAAAAACAGAATATATTAGCAGAGTGCAACATGATTTGACGCGGTTTAATCTAACAGTGTAAATTGCTGTGTTTTCATCTTAGGCGACGCGGATGGGAGTGCAGTGTTTTACTTCCATGTCCACTGCCTTTTTTCAAAGAATTGACAAAAGGCTCTCCTGTACATGGAAGCAAGGCTAGTTTATTCCTGCTCGCAATATTCACAAATACAAGTTGTGTTGCCGACACTACAACCTAAAGTAGTACATTCACTACATCGTGCTCTCACAACACTAAACCATGAGTGTCTCACCAGGTACATGATGTCCATCTCTGCCTCCATCTCTTTGACCACAGAGTAGTTGATGAAGATGTCCTGCTCAGTGTCACAGGGGAACGGCTCAGAGTTCTTCTTCACCTCCAGGGAGCTCACAGTCTTGGTGTCCAGAGTGGACTGCTGGGCAAAGGCCACACGGATTTCTCCATTCTCATAGTGTTCTTCTCTGTATTTGGGGTACTCCAACTCCGGCGTAATACTTATCTGTGGTTTAAAAAAACGTTAGGACTTAAGCGTAACTTACAGGGTATTAAATTAGTTTTTTTTTTATGCTACAAACACTGGTTTTCACTACAGAATAATAACAATAAAAAATAATAAACATGTTTCCAATTGGCAACTTTTGTTCAAATTTTTCTATAATTTCTTGGAAGCTGGATTATAACCGTAGATAGACAGTATATAAATGGACAGTACTAACCCCCTAACTCAATTAAGCCCAATAGGGAAGTGCTCATGAACAAAGTTTTGCTCCAACTCGCTTTGGTTCCTATTGACATACATTGAAAATTAAACTCTACAGCACAGTTGAGAGTCACACTCCCCATTTTCAGCTTTAAAGATCAGTGGTTGAGCGCTCTATAGTGGTTATATGTGATATTGTCTTCTTTGGTCAATCCTAATATGGCTCAGATATGAATTTACAATCAGATCCTCTGTTACGGCATGAAGCTATCCCCATTGGAACAAATGGCCGTATAAAGAAATTGGCTCCAGCTAAATTATGTTCAAATCGGCTTCGCCTGCATTTGGCAAACACTATGGTGATGTCAGCCCTTGGTCAGTCCTCTCCTAATAACCAGTCAGGTCAGAAAGCATACGTGGAGGTGGATTTCTCCGCTGTATGCTGACGTGTCTAGGGAGAAAGTAGCCACTCCGTTGTTGTCAGTGGTGAGGTTCTGTAGATGCCTTGATGACCAGCGCTCTCCCTCAAACAGGTACAGGGCTTTGTTCACCAACGGCTGCTCATTATAGGCCACGGCTTTCACCTATAACACAATAACGCAACATAAATATTCAAATTATTCAGTTGTTGCAGTGATAATAAAATTCCAAGATTCTTACTTTCCCCTGTAGAGTGGAATCTTTCTCATAAATGTTTGGTGTGTCGAAAAAGGACAGCGTTCCAACGACGAATGAAATGGTAACTCTTTTATGTTGTGTGAATGTGATCCCTGTGAAATAAAAGAAGACGTATTAAAGCTGGGATACTGAACTTTCAAACTGTAAAATCCCTCTCAAAGCATGCCTCCAGACTTGTCACTGGCTTTCAAAAGAAGGAAGCACATAACCCCTATTTTAACTCCACTACAACATTGTACTGATCACTTTAAAATCATGTTTAGTTCTTGCTCCAATTCACATTTGTGAATTGTTAAGATTGTACAATTTTACTATTTTTTATATCAGTTTATTTATAGAGCCCTTTACAATCACATAAAATCCATTAAAACATTTATGCATTTAAACAATAAAACAGTTCAAAAGCATTGAAATGGTGTTAAAACTTCTGAAAAAATACATTTTGAGCCTCGATTTAAAAAAAGCCAAAATCAGTGAGGACACGCATGTCAGGGGCAGCTTGATCCAGAGTCTGGGTCCAGCGACTTAGAAGGACCGGTCACTATTTCTGACCGGTCTATTGAAATATGTAACTTTTTCTTCTGGTGGTATTCAGAATGTAGTTACTCAAAATAATAATATAAATAGGATGATTTAGATTATGATTTTTATCTAATAACAATAACATATGATTATTATTATTTTAATAATAATAATACTAATAGGGAAGACATTTAAATATTTTATCATGTCATTTGACAAGAGATTACACTAATGAAAATGTTCCTGGATGTATGTGGGTGTGTCAAATCTGTTTCAAATAGAAAAATGTATAATAATGATGTATTGTCACATAATTGCATTATTAATGAGCAGAAAAGTATTACAAGAATTTAGGATACAGTACTCTGACTGGACCTGGGAACGGAATATGTTACAACATACAATTCAAAGCAAGTGTTCACCATCTTGTAAAACAGTTTTCTCCCCAACATTGATTGTTTTGCATTGTTGAATCATGTTTTCCGTTGTGTTTGACCTATGTGTGCCTTCTTTTCTTTTATCAAGGATGCCTTCTTTTATGTTCTCTTTGTAACGCTGTTTGAAAAGTGCTTTATAAATAAATATCATTATTCTTAGTAGTAGTGGTAGTGTACATTTAAAGCAAACCGTACCTGTTCCCTCCTCCTCCATGTCTACCACAACCTCCAGTGTGTCCAGGAGAATCTTTTGGTCAATTTCTTTGAAAGTGGACATTGGGATAGTAAACACAGCACACCCAGTCGCGTCGGCCTAAGAGAAAACACAGATTACACTGTTAGATTAAACCACTCATCATTTTTGTACTCTGCTTATTATTTCTTGTTTGTTTCTATGTAAGAATGACATTGTACCGTTTTGCTCTCCTTGTGGCATGGAGCAGTCACAGATGGAACGTCATCCTCGTTTAGAGAGAACCCAAACATGTATCTGTTGATGGGTCTGCATACATCTATTTTCACTATCCCGGGAACAGGCTGCTTGTAAGTGTATCTAAAGAGAGGGATGTGTTGCAATCATAAACATTCATAAATCATTTAAATAATTTGAGTTTACTGAACTTACTCTGCACAAGCTTTTATACTGATTTCCTCCTGGGCAATGCTCACTTCATCCTTTGAGGTGATTTTGACGTCAAACTTTGGTAAAACTGGGGGTTACAAATAGTTGCATTTAGTAGTTGGCCATAAATGATGTTGCTTCTCAATGATTTAAATGAATCAAAGGTGTTCGGTGACTATGGATTTTGTTTGGAGCACTTCTTATGTGGTTATTTGAATTTTTCTGTGTTATTGTGCTTTACATGTACTGATGTTTTGTGTGAAGCGTACGACACATTGTGCTCTTTAAGTTGTAAATGTGTGTAATAAATAAACTTAACTTTGACTTTGACAGGGGATAGGTGAATATATAATTTTTTTTAGTACTTCAAATGTAGGACAATAAAGAGAGACTCAGAAAACGTATGATTTAAGTTAAATACCTCTTTGAGTGAAAATATAAGGTCTTTAGAACCATGTGGAATGTTTAACTATGTGTAATTCTGTGCTATTTGAAAAGATGTTTTGTACAAAGTATAATCCTCCATAATGAAAAAATAATTAAACTAAACATACCATATTTCTCCACCTTGAATGAATGGTAGATTGTGTCTTCTCCAGAGGTCACTGAGAGCTGGTAACTGCCTTCTTTGGCCTCAAAATTCAGGGCGAAAGACCGCTGCACTATTTTACCCTCCGCAGTGAGATTCAGCCACTGCCCAATGCGGTTACCATGTGGATCCTGGAAAACAAGTAAAAAAGAGTCTTGTATTAGTTTCAAAATATCTATATTTTAATAAAAGACTATATAGAAAAGAGTTGGAATAGTTATGCTTGATACAAAAGACTTACCTGAAGTTCGATGATATCATACTGAAACAAAAGAAAAGAAAAAGAACATATCAACATTTGAGAAACAGTCTGAAAAACAACTTAAAGATACAATCATACTTCAAAGAGAAAAGCAATTTTTTCGCTGTTTATTTATTTGTATCTATTTATTTATTTCAAGCAAATAGTATTCTGAGAAAAAAACAAAAAAGAAGACATACGGTAACCTACACACTGATGCTTGAAAGGGAGTGGGGAGAAGTGTAACTTATTGGACCCCACCCCAATCTCTGAAGAAAAAGTAAATCATCACAATATATCTAAGTAACGCATCAATCGGAAATCATGTTCAATATGAACACGTTGAAAACCATACACAAACATGCATGCACACACTATACACACACACACAATTTTCAGAGGTTACCTACAGCTTGTGGGACCTAGCAATCATATCACAAGGTTTGTAAGAAGGGGAAAGAAATCAAAATAACCTCAAAATGATGTAACTTTAAGTGTGGGAGGTGTGACCCTGAGGTTCTGTATTCACTGTGCAAATGGATCTGATGCAACAGGTCCAGGTCACTGTGGCTCGATCAAATCAATGGAGTCACTCACCTTTCGACAGGCCGGCCTCAGCTTTGTGTCCATTGTCACCACCCTGAAATACACTGAGAAGGAAAAAGACCCCAACATGAGGTTTGCGGTGGATTTGATTTGTAAATTGAAAAAGGTTGAAAAAATTAAGATAATTCAACAGCATTTTAGCTGGTTATTTTAACAAAAAGATCACTGCTTCTAGACACATTGTTTTTAATTGTGTCACCAGTAATTACTCTCTGTACGATAAATCAAAATGCACTAATAACATTCACATAATGAGTTTGGAGCATCCCCTGGAAATCACAATCTGTTGTATAGCCACAAATTTCAACAACAGCTGTTTCATAGAACGTCACAATGTTGTTTCACCAATAGGAAATTCCAGCAATTAAAGTAGATATATGTGAATCAAGATCAATTCATGGCACACTCTGTATTTTTTGCTAACTTATAAAGTGTTACAAATGTTACTATTCTGTCCTTTTTTCTTATCTTTTTGTTTTCTTATCTTTGCAGATAGATACAGTATCTTTTGGTGCTGTGAAATTTACAAAATTACCAGTTTGTCCTGGGAGGAAGATTGGCTTGTCTGTCTGGATGAATGTCACTGGTTTATTGGCACGGATCAGAACTTTGCGAGTTTCCCGGGAGTACATCTTTTTCCCGATCACCTCCACCTGGAAGTGCTGCACCGTGTCCTTTATGACCAGAGGGGCCTGGAGAACACACAGAGACAACAGTCCAACAAAACCATTTCTGAGTGACTGATGTGTGTCCATGTTTTTTTATATTTTGTTTTTGTTTTTTGATAAATAAATAAATGTATGTAAATCCCTTTGATTTACCTTGCTTCAATGTAGTTTATTAGGAAGAGTAAGGTTTCATTAGTTGAAGTGAGTAGACTTAACTCAAGACTACTGTTAATTGAGGTAATTAGTTTCTGCAATTATTTTGAGTCAGCTGTTCTTATGCATTTAGGTGACCTAGTCCCGGGAAGTGAATGAAACTTGAATTAGACTTTTAAAAAGACAAAATAAAATAAAAAAGATAATTCTCAATCATGCCAATTCTCTCCACACGTTGAATGTGGTGATTTTGTGCCCTGTCTGTGACACGTATAGAAAGGGATGTTTTAAATGGAAAAATCTTCAGTTTTTAACCTTCAATTCAAATGATGAGCTTCCTTGTTGTCAGCGGGTGTGGCCATAATCACTTTTTTGTGCATCTTCACATGATGATTATGTGTTTCGTGGGTTATGCCTAAATGTCATACAGGTTTCACTGAGAAATTACTCTTTAGGGAAAAATAAGTCGTACGCCCAGTTGGGGTTTGGGCCTAATTAGAAAACAAGCCCGGACAGGTTTTTGTGACCAGTGGCTTCTGAGATAGCAGTGTAGAAAGTTACAAGACAGTTTATGATACATTCTGTTTATCATTAGGATTCATATACAAGCAACATCAAAAACTAGTCAAAAACTAGTTGACTGGGGTTTTATAAATAAATACATAAAGTCCCACCTTATAGTGTTGTTCAAATATTGCTAATACTTAACTATAGAAATATATTTGATTCAAGCCTTGAAGACCCAAGTACTTCACAGCATTACACGTTTTAAGTCCCAATAAATGAAAAATGTTTATACCAGGAAGGTGCTACAGGTATGAAAATCCTGGTTGGACTCTTTCTGCAGGAGGGTGGTGTTGAGCTCCGGGGACAGCAGCGTCACGGTCATCTTATGCTTGTCATTTTTATCCACTTTCAAAAGACTCGCACAAAACCTGACCTGAGCTCCAGACTCCCACACAGCCGGGACTGGGACAAAGTACAATCTGCAGACAAAGAGATGGTGCAAACTCCAAATCAAGCTACATTAGAAATGGAAATGGTGCTGAATTAATAAAACTACTAAAGAAAATTACAATTTACGTGAAGAGAAATTCAAAAGCATATTGACAATACATCTAAGTATTTTATTATCCTTCATGCCAGTTTCTTGTATTTTTATATTGTAACTTTGATATCATAATTTGCTGGGTTCATTTCTGGGTAAAAATAGCATATACATGACTTTATGCAAATTAAGAATGCAATGACTTTTCTAGTGACAAACATTTACATTTAAATATCAAATTAAGGCAAAACTGAGCATAGAATATATATTTGTTATCATCACTGTGTTGCAGCTATTTCTCAAACAATGTTACTCACGGATCTGCGAGAGCCTGCCCCACACACATACACCCGAAGGCCACAAACAGCACCCATGTCTCCATCTGCATCCCAGGACGACCCATGACTGACCAGGTGTACTTCCCTCTCTGCAACAGTTAAATATGCACCACAAAAGAAGACACGCCTCTATCAGACAGGACACGCCCCCAACATCAAAGACAATTTGTATTTTTTACCCATCCAAAGATTGATGGGTAAACGTAGGGTAAAAAATGCAACACAATAGTTTCAAGGGATTTAACAGAACATGTTTACAGCTGTTTGTTTTATCATAAATAAATGATGTTTGTCATAACAGAAAGAGTATCATGTAAGTAATATTTTTTGTACAAATCTAAACAACATGCTGGGAGCTTATAATCTCTTTTTGTAAGCGATTTGAAGTTTGTTTATTTTTTTTGTCTCATATTAATGTACTCTGGCTTTAATGTAGACTAGGTTTATTCTGATAACTAGAAAAGAACTCAAACTCAGATTTAGAAGTAGAAGTAGAAATGAATTAGATAAGAGAACCTTCATTCGTCCTACAATGGGGAAATTTCAATGTTGCAGCACACATACAGAGCACTTTGCTACCTTTCGCCCTCCGCGGGCGGTTATCCCTCTCTTAGCTCGGGTCATCTTCCAGAGGCCTGGGAGTTTGAGGGTTCTGCGCAGTATCTTTGCTGTTCCTAGCACTGCACATTTCTGGACCAAGAATTTCAAAGTTGTTCCATCTGGTGTAAACACTCCTCCAGCTTCGGGGTCACTGCCCCAAGTGCACCGATCACCTTGGGCACTACTGTCACCTTTACCCTCCAGGGCCTCTCCAGCTTCTCTCTGAGCCCTATAATATACATGTAATAAATATAGGACCTATAATATACATGTAATATATTACACATATAGTGTAAAGTTGTATACATATAGGGCTGGATAATAAGTAGATAAAGTGAGTTTTGGTGGACATTCTGAATAGCAACATTGCACAATGTGTGTGAATGAGCTCAAACCAGGAAAACTGAACAAACCTGGAACAGAAACAGGTTCCTCCAGTGTGAAAAATGCTAATTGAAGAGTCAGACTTTAAAACGGTAAATACACTTTTATCCGTAGTTTAGAATATAAGAGCATCTACGTCAATGAAATGTTGTCTATCAATCATCGTTAGAATGAGTAATTTATCGTAAATCATGACACAGTTAATGAGTCACTAAAAGAAGGTTGGAAATATCATCTTATTTCTGGGGTTGGGGTCTGCTTTTGGCCTTATCTCATACCATAGGCCACAAAAAAATGTGTGCACACCAGAACTACAAGCCAATTCGTTCTCACAAAAAAACAAAAAAACACTGCATTTGTCGCTTGTTACATTACCATATGTGATTTTGAAACACAAAAAATTATACTCATACTTGCATAATAATGATATGATAATGTATCATTGTATTGCATGATAAATCCTAAATCTTTCTGTGCAATCAGAAGGCTATATCACAAATTATCCCAAATTTATCTCTGAAACGTTTTGTCTCTCTTGGTAGAACGATTACAGTATTCTCGCAGCAGTGCACTTTACCCATCTGGGATGTTTGATTTTTAGTTCAAAAACAGCACTCACCTGATAAGGCCAAAGTGATGATAATGCCCTGAAACAAACACTTCAGGAGTATAGTGCTTAAAACAGAGCCAAAGAGTCTTTCTTCTCATACTTCAAAACTATGTGTCCCAGGCCATTTTCACTGGAGTTACTTGGGTTCTATCAGACCTGTTAAACTGGCTCAAACCAATAATTTATATGTCAAGATTAATAGCAGCGTTGCTGGAGAGATCAATTTGAGTTTTCAATATTTGTAATCTGGGCTTCTGTGTGTCTGTCCCTTGGCCTGCTTCAATGGCTCTTGCTACAGCAGTATCAGTTACAAATTATGAAGCACATAATAACTTCTCACCAAATTCTAGGGCTGCGGTGCTAGCTCAGCATTGCCCAATACAGAAAGGTGGCAGTAGTACAGAAAGGTCTGTGTTGCAAAGAAAGCCATAAGAAATCCCACATGCCGTTTGTCCGAAGTCATATGGCATGTGTCTCATCATCGGCTAGGCGAGAGCAATATTTAAAATTAAAGCCGCAAGCGGCGTCGAACGGCCCTCGCCGCACCGCGCGACTCCCCGCACCGCGCGCACCCCCCGCACCGCGCGCTCCACCCCGTGCCAAGCCACCCCGCACCACGCCGCCCTGCACCACGCTGTCCCACATCACGCCGCCCCGCACCAAGCCGCAACGCGCCGCACCACACCGTACCACGCAGAACCGCGCATAGGAGGTGGCGCCGCCGTGTGATGATTTGTTCCTGTAGCCATAGAAGAAGTTAGTAAAATTGTAATGAATATGATAAGTAGAGCTGGTTTGGCTCCCCATGTAAACTTTGAATCAGTCTGTAGGGGGAGCTAATGGGCCAATTTCAAATATTTCACTTTCACCTGACCTAAACCTTGGAGTTGAACAATGGATTCAAGTTTAATGCAAATCAATCTTTGTTTGTGCACACGGGAAAAAAATGTATGTTATCAAAAACTGCCAAAAAAACACTCACATTTTGCCGCTCCCCTGCTCAAGCAACGTTTCACTGATCAAAATTCCCTGAAGTCATTTTGAAGGTAAATGTGTTGAGATGATTTGGAACAATTTTGATGCCAATCGGTAAAACGGCCGAGGAGGAGTCGCTTTCCAACCGACATGTATGAAAATGATTGCGGATCATTTTTCCATTTTGCAGTGAAATTTATGGGCCTCCTGTTGTCAGAGGGCGGAGCCATGGTAACATTTCGGTCGTATCTTGACTTGAGGAACATGTGTACCGAATTTCATGGCTCTACGACAAACTTGACCTCTGAAACTCCCATTGGCTCTTGTAGGTGGCGCTGTTCTGGCATTTTTTGAGTCCCATAAAAATAAACACCCAAATATCAAATTTTTCACCAGGTTTGATGTTTGGGCAAAATTTTACAACTTTTCATGCATGTTCAGGGGGTGAAATTAAGGCTCAAAATGCAGAATTTGACATCTCTCGAGCAAAAACAATTCAATCTGGAGAGACGAGGAGACAAAATGCATTTGAAGTATTTTATTGAAGGTAGTTTGGCGCCCTAGGCCCCGGTGCGGCGTTCAGTCAGCGAGGCTCCTGCGAGAGTGCGCGCACAATCCCCCGGGACCTAGGCACTGGTGGCGGCATTCGGGCAGCAGGAAGAGGCATGATTGAGGCAGGGTGAGAAAAGGAGGAGGAGGGGAGGCGGTGGTTGCAAGGCTTCGAGAAGGCCGTAAAGTGGGAGTTTCTCCGCTTTTAAGCGGCTGGCCTGGCCGGCGTAGGTTGGTTGGAAATGGGCGTTTGCTGTGCGATAGGCTGGGGCTGCGAGGCCGGCCTGGAAGGGGTGGCTTTGCTGACGTCTTCCAAATTGAATTTCCGCGAGGCTGCATTTCAATCTGGAGAGACGAGGAGACAAAATGCATTTGAAGTATTTTATTGAAGGTAGTTTGGCGCCCTAGGCCCCGGTGCAGCGTTCAGTCAGCGAGGCTCCTGCGAGAGTGCGCGCACAATCCCCAAAAGGCTGTGTGTTTGATGGAGTTTTGCAGGCCTGGTTAGCAGGGGACGTCGTGCGTGCACCGCTATATATAAAGGCAACACTATTTATAAAGGCACCGCTATATATAAAGGCAACACTATTTATAAAGGCACCGCTATATATAAAGGCAACACTATTTATAAAGGCACCGCTATATATAAAGGCAACACTATTTATAAAGGCAACACTATTTATAAAGGCAACACTATTTATAAAGGCAACACTATTTATAAAGGCACCGCTATATATAAAGGCAACACTATTTATAAAGGCACCGCTATATATAAAGGCAACGCTATTTATAAAGGCACCGCTATATATAAAGGCAACGCTATTTATAAAGGCACCGCTATATATAAAGGCAACACTATTTATAAAGGCACCGCTATATATAAAGGAAACACTATTTATAAAGGCACCGCTATATATAAAGGCAACACTATTTATAAAGGCACCGCTATATATAAAGGCAACACTATTTATAAAGGCAACACTATTTATAAATGCTCAGCTGCTGCCGCCACCAGGGAGTTTGCAAGTGCTTTACGGAGATGCCAATAGACGCTGGGCTGCCAGAATAGTCGAAGTGTCAGGCCTGATGTATGAGGAGAGGGCAGATGATGACCAGCGACCCAACGGCTGAAGGGCAGAATGGGGAAGACCCAGGGAAGCAGCGCGCGTAGCTGCGCCTATCCGGAAAGAGTGAGCTGTGTAGAAATGAGGGGACAAGTTACAAAGCAGCAGTACAGACTTGAGTTGGGCTCTGAACCAGTTAGATGCTGGAGCGAAGTGCGGCGCAGAGCTGGTGGAGGATGGACAGTGTGATGAGGCGCCTGTGGTCCGAGGAATGCGGGGTGCAGTTGTGAATGCCTTTGATGACGAGTTTGATTGATGGATCAGAGAATAGAGAGGAGAAAGCGGGGTTGTGACAGCGGGCCTGGAATTGTATCCCGGCGAGAAGAGAGCGAATGTAAGAGATCTTGTAGTGGAGATTGTCCGCACAGTGAACTATGAAGGCACAGATTGTGCAAGCAGAGGGCGGTATTAGGGGAATGCAGTGAGCATAGCAAAAGCTGGAGTAGACTTTCCAAGCAAAACTGTACAATTTCCGCGTGGAAGGTGAGAGGCCCCTTTTTATGTAGGATGAAGCGGAGGAGAGGAGAGGAGAAGGTGAAGAGACGGAGGGACTAGTCCAGGGCGAGGGATTCCATGGAGGGGATCTGGCATGGCGTTGAATTGGCAGAGGGGCAGAGGCGTCGGAACTCCTGGAATTTAAAGCGAGAGAGACAGTCAGCAATACAGTCAAGGTGACCCGGGACGTGACGAGCAGTGATGATGAAATTATTTAGGACTGAGAGCCATTTGATGCTTCTGAGGAAAGACATGACTTGGGGAGAGGACGAACGACCTCTGTTAATTATTTCTACCACGTCGAGATTGACACACGTCACGGAATCCTTTTTCTGTGCCACGTATGGCTCCACGGCACGCAGGCTACGGTCACGGGATATATTTCATGGAGTGCGGAGGAGATGCTTCGAGGGAAAGAGTCGGGCCAGGGCCCGGCGAACCACTGGTCCTGGAAAAACCCCCAAAAACCCACGGACGGGGCTGCGTCCGTGAAGAAACGCAGGGCATCTGAGGACGGGATGACGTCGCTGTAGAAAAAGATACACCGTTCCAGCGGCTCAGCGGACAGGACCAGAATTCCAGGTCGGAGCGGCACCCAGCGTTCAGGCAGACAGCATCATTGAGGGAGGGGACGGAGCCAGCGAGGGAGAGGAGCCTGGAAATAAAAGAACGACCCTGAGGGATGATACGGATAGCATCATTGAGGTGCCCGAGGAGGGAGAGCAGCTGACGCTTCGAAAGTGACGGAGAGGACAAGGCAGACCGGGAGAAGCGCGGATGCGCCCAAGCTTGTCCGGCGGGGGGGAGGCCTCCACGGCGCGCGTGACGAGGCGGATGCCGAGAACTCCAAAGCGGTGGCGGGGCCGGTGGTCTTCTCCTCTGAGTGAAGG